CTGAGTTCAATTCCCAGCAACCACATGGTGGCTCACAACCATCTATAATGAGGTGTGGTGCCCTCTACTGGCCTTCAGGCACACATACAGAAAGAATATTGTATACATAATAAATAAATAAATATTTTTAAAAAAAAAATTTAAAAAATAAAAGACAAAAAGAAACCTGTACTTAAAAACTTTAGAATTTGAATTTTTTGTTTGCTTGTTTTTTTTGGTTTTTTTTGGGGGGGGACAATTTCTCTGTGTAGCTTTGGCTGTCCCGGAATTCACTTTGTAGACCAGGCTGGTCTTGAACTCACAGAGATCCAGCTGCCTTTGCTAACCCAGTGCTGGGATTAAAGGCGTGTGCCGCCACCACCTGGACTAGAATCTAAAATTTAAAATCTCAGCTATATTTAACACTAAAAATCAAAATATGCTAATAACAGTGGCGCATGTAATTATTATACTCATTTCAACATAAAATGATAAAAATGTATACAGAAACACTTCACTGAAGAAATCTTGATTAAACCTGATTTAAACTGATGGTTATGATATTGAAGTTTTATACACAAACCCAATGCTGCAGTAGAGTAGGCGATTTTGTTTAAGTTGCCGCAAAAGGGTCTGACAGACAGGGTTTTACATACAGGCTTTCAGTGACCAAATCAGCAAAACCAGAAACATCACTGCGGGCTGTCTAATGGGTAAAACACATTAAATACATTAACTTTTTAAAGAAATAAGTAATTCTATACTCAAGTTGTCACCTGCCAAATTTCTAGAAAGATAACAGTAGAAAATATAACTCCATGCTAGATAGGGGTGGCACACATCTTTAATCCCAGTACTTGAGAGGCAGAGGCGCGTGACTCTAAATTCAAGGCCAGCCTGGTCTACAGAGTAAGTTCCAGGATTGCTAGGATTTCATAGAGAAACCCTGTCTTGAACCACCTCCCCCAGGAAAAAAAAAAAAACGGTGAGAATAATCAGACTTGTTTGTCATCTCCATAAGACTGTTACCCCCAAATAGCTTAGTTTCATAAAATAGCTCGATTCAGATGGATCTTAAATACTCAATGTCAAAAAGTTAGTATCAAGGGATTAGAAGACCTCAAAGGAATTTCACCATTTCCTGTGTTTTCCTTTCTTTTCTTTTCTTTGGTCTTTTTGAGACTATTATCAGCTCTAGGGGTCCTGTATCTATCTTTTTGAGACTATTATCAGCTCTAGCTGTCCTGTATCTATCTGTCTCTGCCTCCTGAGTGCTGGGATTAAAGACCTGGATGCTTTTCTACTTTTTAGTTCTAATTAAGTACAAACTACAATCTTAGAAAGATATAAATGTAATTTACCAGAATTTGCACAATTAAAAGAATCACAAAGCAGTCGGATTTAGAAGTGGCACTGACATCTTTTTAGACTTGACTCAGTTTCCACTTGGGATAAAAATAAGAAAAGATAAGATACTAAAATAGCCTTGAGTTGTGTAAGTTTTAAAAACTCATATAAGGGAAATGTTACACACATAGGAACTTTGATGAATAAAGCACATAATTTAAATGTATTTACTGAAGACAAATAAAGTATGGCTTCTAATTGAAGACCTTAACAAATGGTCATTTTCTTTGGATTCTCCTGTATCTTTCTAGTATGTAGTTCTATATTCTCAGAGTTGAGAGCTTCTACTTCCAGGAGAGAAACTGCTAAAGAAACGCCAAAACTAGGTGTGGTTTTTCAAGCTTATAATTCCAGTAGTTAGTTGAGAGGCAGAGGCATGAAGATCACTGAGAATCGTAGGCCAACTTGGGCTACATAGTGAATTCCATGCCAGCCTAGGCGACAGAGTTGAGTTCTTTCTCAATAAATAAACAGACAAATAAATAAATGCTTTAAGAAATTTATCAATTTGTATGCCCTGCTCCCAGGTTACCTAATGAGCAAAAGCTGAGATAAACGTTACCCTGTCCATGAGTCACTGTGAATGAGGAACACAGGATTCAGGATTCAAAATTGTTGACTTCTGGGTAAATGATGTTCTTAAGATACTAGATGTTTGTGTGAACAGTAAGATATTTTATATCTTCTTGGTTTAAAAAACAGTAGATTTCATGTCACTTTAGGTCTTTAAATAATAAATAAGCAAATAGACAAGAAAAAGGTCCTCTGGTTCTAAAAATCTATGCTACTCAGCTGAGCATGCCAGTACACACTTTAATTCCAGCACTTGGGAGGCAGAGGCAGGCAGATCTCTGTGAGCTCGAGGCCTGCCTGGTCTACAGAGTGAGCTCCAGGATAGTCAGGACAAAATAGGCAGACCTTGTATCAAAAAACAATCAGTCAAATGTCTGTTTTTATCCATAACTATAAGCAAACTGTAAAATACCACAGAAGCAGAAACAGAACATAACCCAGGATATAACTACTTGTAATATTTACCTTTTAATGAATTTCTGCCTGTGCAAGGTTAAAATTAACATCTTCATCTAGACATCAAGTTATAAATGGGGCAGAAGATAAATAAATGAAGTCATAACAGCTTCTTTCTTTCTTTTCTTTTTTTGTTTCTGAGACAGGGTTTCTCTGTGTAACAGCCCTGACTCTCGTAGATCTCAGACCCGGATGGCCTGAAACTCAGAGATCTGCCTGCTTCTGCCTCCCAAGCGCTGGGACTGAAGGCATGTGCCGCCACACCCAGCAGCCAATAGTGCTATTTTTAATAATTGTTCTGTTGCCTGTGGAACCACCAGCCTTCTCAAGGCACAACCAATTTATCCCCATAAAGAATTTCACAAAGACACCAAACACATAAACAGTAACATGTATCCTCTACAAAAACCACCTTCACCTCCACCACCGCCACCACCACCGCCACCTCCACCTCCACCACCTCCACCTCCAGCACCACCACCTCCAGCACCACCACCGTTACCTGCAACATTAGTAACACCTCCACCACTCTTAACTCTGTCACCACCACCACCTCCACCTCTACCATCTCCAGCACCACCACCTCCACCACCTCCACCTCCACCACCACCTCCACCACCACCTCCAGCACCACCACCTCCACCACCACCACCTATACCTCCACCACTCTTAACTCTGTCACCACCACAACTATTAGCACCACCAGCACCAGTTTCTCTTAATATTGTGTGAAAAAAAGAATAAGCAACAAGAAAGATCACTGCTGTATGTACAGCTGTCTTGGCAAATAATATTTTGAAAGAAATTAGGATAGAATCTGGCATCACTGGTAAGGATTCAGGAATCAGTAAATGGAGTTGGTTATTCTATTCTTACTAACATCGGTGAGTTAGTAGAATTACCTTAGGGACCTGGGAGCTGGGGAACAACCTACTCTTTTCATTTTGAATGCATATTTTGTATGACACTAGTTTAGGATTTACAAGCAGAAAAAAGTGATTAGGTTTAAGATTTTTAGATTCATATAAAATAGAAATCACATATTAACACCCTTAAATTAAAATTCACCTTTTAACTATAGTCCTGAAACAAATAAGGAGTGTAAATTTCTTCAAGTATTTATATACTTGTAAGGACCCTATGTTACATTTTTTATCATTGCCAAAACATAGCTACAATGTAAGTATCTTTGCTATAACTATATACAGGCTTAATTTTAAATAATATTGCAAAGTAATCTAATAAACTTAAGCTTTAATTAAACCTCTCTGCCTAAGGGAATAGAAACTACATGCCAAGGCAGCTTAGACTAGTAAATATGTTTTTTCAAGGCTTGAAGTGAGGTCTTTATGAAAATTAAGATGCAGATGAGAGAACAAAATACAAATATCACCTATAATTTTGTCTAAGAAATTTAAGAAACATTCACAATAGGACATGGGGTAAATTAAAATTAATGATTTCTAATACCCCATTCATTTTTAAACTATTTTTACCTGAAGTCGTATTTGTAGTTTCTTGGCTCTTGCCATGACGATCTGCTTCTAGCCATTGGTACAAAACTACATAATGTAACAGAAACAAAAATCTTTATGAACAAAGCAAAAAACAAAAATGATATTGAAGAATGGAAAATGAGAATACAAAATTAAACAAAAGCAATTAAATTTGAGACATTCAAGTCAAGCACACAGCTTAACACTAGTGATATGTAGCTTACAAGCAAAAACCATGTAATTTTAACATAACAAATACCAGTCAGACATCTGTAACACTTATCTGTATAGGTGAAAAGCACACACATCTTAAGACTAATTTCAAGAGAAATATTAAAACAAAGCTAACAAAGTGTGATGGTAAAATGAATTGGAATGGGTGTGGTCCAAAAATTAGTATCCCAAAATGCTAACAAGGATGCTGAAAGACAAGAACGCTCAACCACGGCCAGTGGGAAAGGCAGGTTAATACTTGCTTATAAGATCAAACATGCTTTTGACATACAACTCCGTAAATCTAGTCTCATGAGTAAACATCACATTCAAGAGGGTTCATATCTGGTAAATACTCACCAAAACTATCAAAGAAACCAGAAACAACAAAGCCTGAGAAACTATCATAGCCAAGAGGAGCTTAGGGAAATGTGACAATTAAATGCCAAATAGAACAAGGATCCTTTAAGAGAAAAAGAACATTGGGCCAAAACTAAGAAAATCCAAATAGGGTTTTCATCCCTCAACTCAGTCTTGTATGAAGGAGTTAGAAGCCCGGGTCTTCAAGTGTGGCTATGAAATCTCTAGAAACCCAAAGACAGAGTTCCACTCCACTAAGGGTCCATCTTACACGTTACGTCAGACCCAGAACTGAGTAGAGACACATACATGTAGAGTATCTAAAATGCCATCTCTGAGTTTTTAAGTATCATTCAAACATCACTTTTACTAGAATTATTAGCAAGCACTTCTTTTACATGACTATATATTATCTTCCCAATCCAAAGCGACTTAAAGATCGCCTGAATTAAGCATTCAGTCAACCTTTCAACCCCATTAGATTCATTATCAGATAACTGTTGATAACTTTACTGCGTCACAATTGACTAGTATGGCCTGCCCCTCTCTTCCCCGTTCTCTCCTGCTCATGCCATGCTAATTTCACCTCACCTTGGTAAACAAAATATGATCTGCATGTGACACATTCTAGCTCCCACTGCAGTTGGACCACATACAAACTGATGATTACTCTTTATCCTGGCATAAAGCCTGGCTCTAGAATTGTCAAGGGACTAATCAGCATTAAACCTACGTCAGGAAGGTGCTGGGAGCAGCTTTGGAGCGAGGCTCAGTAACAGGGTTATTAGGGAAACAGATTAAGAAAAAGCTGGCTAAAATCTATGTGAAAAACTTTGTTCATGACACTTGTATGGAAATAACTTGGAAGCTGACATAGTAGAAAAAACAGAAAAGGTATTGTACTTCTTTCTGAATATGAGGACTAGTCAGGATGTGTCACTAACTTCAGAAGGTAGCAAATGTGAAAGAAATATTAATAAATCTACATGCATAGCTATGGAGCTGCTCTCTGAAGTTAAAAACACTGCATGCCCTTTCCTGGTGATCCTTTCAGTTCAAACAACACAGCTTTTCTATAGGATGACTTTGAAGTACCAGAAACAGAGGACATACTAAATAAGATCTGAGCAGATAAACATAGGCAGCTCTGTCCACAACGTATGTGCCATGCAAAGTACTACACCTAGGAGACTGAGGCCAGACTGGGATCACTCTCACACACACACACACACACACACACACACGCACACGCACACGCACACACACATAGGCACACACGCACGCGTACACACACAGGCACACGCGCGCACACACACACACACATGCGCGCACACACACACACACACAGAGGCACACACACACAAATGACAAAATTCCTCAAAATCAAACTATCAAATAAAGAGTTCAGCCTATACTTTCCAGTATCTCACAATCACTTTATATTTTCAATGAGAATAAAATAATCTTTCAATGCTTACCTTAATATATATGCAATTAGCAACTTCTAGGTCATTAAGATTCCCTAAAATACAACCAGATCTATTGACTTTTATGTTTGCTCATATAATTTCCCATTAAATGACTGGAAAGTTAGTAACGACAACAGATGTGCATGTACAAATTGAGGTTGTTTTTTAAAAAAGCTTTACTGAGATATAGCTTAATATTTACCCTTTTAAAATAAATGATTCAGGGATTCTTTAGGATTTTCTTTTTAAGTTTTAATAATCTATTTTTATTTATGTGCATTGGTGATTTGCTTGAATGTATGTCTGTGTGAGGGTATTGGATCCCCTGGAACTGCAGTTGCTGACAATTGTGTGTAGCATGAATTCTAATTGCTCTTAATAATAAAAACCCAGAGTCAGATACAGGGGTTAATGCTGAAGATCAGAGAAGCAGAACAGCCAGCCACCAGCTCTTACCTCTACTTCAGACCAAAAGAGCATCCTGCCACTACGAATCCTCAGACTGCTGCTGTTTTTATAAAACTTTAGACCGCCTCTCAGACTGGATCCTCAGACTGAATTCTCCCACCTAATATTCCTCTCTCCCTCCAGTCCAGCCACATCACTTCTGTCTCCACCTCCCTAGTGCTGGGATTAAAGGGGTGGGATCCCAAGTGCTGAGATCACCTGTGTGTGTGAGCTCTGTTTCTCTTTTAGACAGAGTCAATCTCTTGTAGCCCAGAGTGGCCTTGAACACTCAATCCGACTGCCTCAGTCTCCCTCACAGTCCTGGGATTAAAGGTGTACGCCACGACTGCCTGACCTCTATGACTAATGGCTTAGCTCTGCACTCTGATCTTCAGGCAAGCTTTATTTGTTAGATTACAAGCAAAATATTACTATAAATTATGGTGGTTTTACTGTGCATATTAAGTTTTTTGCTCTTATAGAAACATAATGGATCTGTGCCTGGTATTTTTTTTTTTTCGAATTGAGTGTCTTCCTCTGAAATATTAGCACTTTAAAGCTGAATCTTTTTCAAATTTTTTTCATTTTATATGTGAGTGTTTAGCTCACATACACGTATGTATGTATACCACATGCATGCGTACCACATATATGGGCATCACATGGTGCCCAAAGAAGTCGAAGAGGGTATCTAATTGACCTGGAACTAGAGACAAGATGGCTGTGAACCATCAGGTGGGTGCTGGCAGTTTAACTCAGGTCTTTTGAAGAGCAACAAGTGCTCTTAATTGATGAACTATCTGCCCAGTTCCAAAGCTGAATCACCTTTAACCTAGAGGTCAAAGATGATATTCAGACATGTCTTTTTGCTGGTTTGACACAAGGTCTCATGTAGCATAGGCTGGTCTTAAAATTCCTCTGTAGCTGAGGATGACCTTGAACTTTTGGACCCTTTATCCACCACCTCCCAAGTGCTCGGATTACAGGGGTACATCATAACATCTGGTATAATATTTAGCAATTGTTACGTCCCAGACATGCAATATTAAGATGTGTTAAATTCTGGAGTCTATTTCTGCACTATACTGGACCAGCTACTGCTCCAGTGCCATGCCTTCCTATCCGATGTCACGCTCCCTGCCATGATGATCATGGACTCTAACCCTCTGAAACCACAAGCCCAATTAAACGCTGTATAAGTTGCTCTGGTCATGGTGTTGTATCACAACAACAGAAATGTGGCTAAGACAAGTTGCTTTATTAGGTATTTTGGCAGAGCAACGAAACAAGTAACGAATATACCATCCTATTCTACCAGCCAGTGAATTTACTTTATTCTCTGTTTATAAGAAAAGAGTAAGACATCTATGGCTAAAAAAATGTTATCAAGTCTTCATAGTAAGGGGTAGAAGAAGACCTCTGGGGCTAAGCTACACTTGGGCATTTGTGAACTGAGGAGGCCTCTCAATCTGTCCTCTGAAGATACTTTTAACTAAACCGTATCAAAGGAGGCAGAAGCCCATTCAAGGCCAGGCTGTGCTACCCGGGACTCTATCTTAAAATAACAGGCAGGGTAGTAAGATGGTCCAGTGGGCGAAGACACTTGTATTACATGCCTGGAGACCTGGGTTCCATCCCCAGAACTTACACAAACGTGGAAGGGGAGAAGTGACTCCCAAAAGTTGTCCTCTGACCATCATATTAGCACCATGGCATGTACAAACGTGACCTCCCCACTCTGTAATAATAATAAATAATATAAAAATTTTAAAAGCCTGAAGGTAGCTATACTGATAAATAGTTTAAATAAATGACTGCATAGTATTCATTTATGTTTGACATTCCAGTTTTATATGAAGCCTGAAGCCACCGGCACTGACAATTTTGCCGTCCAGTAGCTGATATGTCAGTTTGATACCTAGCTGTAGGTTCTAAGTATATCCTAAACCAATCAGGCTGGAGTTGTTCACGATGGCCCAAAAGCAAGCATCAGCACTCATCTGATACTTAGCTGCCATTCTGAGGTGTTACTGCTCCTTGCTCTCCAAGGGAAACTAACAATGCTACCCAACTTCCTGTTCACCTGTGGGAAAATGGAGACACCAAACTTCATCCAGAAGTTCATATTAATGCGAGGCTAGAATTTTTGTGTCTTGTAGCCAACTACAGAGTTGCTCTGGATCACCTGAGGCTTCACACTCCTAAAATTCATCTAGCAGCCAGGCAGGCAGCCTTTCACAGCCTACTGTCAGAGTACCCCAGAGGCTTCTGATGTCAGGTGAGAAGGATAAACCAGGTTATCTTCGTCCAGAGGTAGACTGGTCTTCCACAGCGCTCTCAATGCCCCACAACGTTTTCTCTGTACACATCAGGCTGTACTAGTCTACGGTACTTGGTGTCCAGACTGTTGTCTGACAACCTCAATCCATTCTCAGATTTCCTTTTTAAAAACTGTGTGTGTGAATGTGCTTAAGAGTCAGCTCAGCAGATTCCCAGAGGACCCAGGCTCAATTCCCAGCACCACATGGCGGCTCACAACCATCTGTAACACCAGTTCCCAGATCTGTGCTCTCTTCT